TTTTTCCAAACAGAGCTATTCAATGCCTTGCCATATTGTATTCCCATCTCAATACATCAAAAAAATATGAAATATGTTATATTTTTCAAATATTGTAAAATGCATGGTCATACTAAATATATAATATAACATAACAGTGTTTCTCAACCACGTTCCTGGAGGACCACCAGCTCTGCACACTGTCTCTTTAACCAAACACACATGACTCAGATCATCACCTGAGACTTAAAGACCTGTAATAGGTGTGACAGACAAAGGAGACATCCAAAACATGCAGTGTTGGAGGGCCTCCAGAAATGTGGTTGAGAAACACTGTAATAGAATATAATATAACATACCTAATTGACTGCGGTGGCTTTTCTCCTCTTCCGAACGCAAAAACTTCTCCAAAGTTTTCAGGTCATCGATGCAGTCCTCCTTACCTCCAGGTGAATTAAAAACAGAAGGGGACGTGCGATAACGAGAGCGGAGGCTGGTGTTTTCTGCTGGACCGAGGCTGCTGGGATATGGAGGAGAACTTTGAGATGGACTGTAGTTCAACACCTGCGGACATAAAAAAAAATCTAATATTGAAAATACAGCTTTAAGGAACACTTCTTTTATATAATACTCAACTAAGGCTGGGTAATATGGGAAAACTATCATATCACGACAAAGTCATCTCATATTCTGATAACAATTTAAATCATGATATAGAAGCAATTAATATTTTATATATTTGATTATTGAGCACATGTAAATAACTAACTTTTACACATTACAATATAGACTCTTCTCATAGTACTCATTCATATGCAAGCATACTTTTCACCTTAATTAGAACTTGAGAGCAAAGGTTGGATTAAATATATAAATATAAAATAAATACAAAACACTTTTCAAAAACTATTGATCAGTGATTACAGGTCCAACATTAAAAGAAAAAATAATAATTTCAAGATTGCAACTTTCTCACGATGCTTTATTTATGTTTCTGTCTGCTTCCCTATAATAGCACATAATATTGCTCTCATTTAAATTATAAATAAAAAGTATTACTATAAACAATGTATTTTGTGACACCATGAATGGTAAATCACACTAAACGTTAACAATTTTAGGTTGGTTAGGATTACCTAAATGATTTACATTTGCTAAATGCCAGAATAATTAAATAATTTTTTTTTTGAGAATTTTTAAATTAATTTCTAGACAGGCAAAAGCGTACATACATTTGCTTGGTATTTTTTTAACTTTGCTTTTAAACTGTTTAACTTTAGTCAAATGTTTTGGGTATCCTTTCACAAGCTTCTCACAATAGTTTGAAGGACTTTTGGCCCATTCCTCCTGACAGAATTGGTGTAACTGAGTCAGATATGTTGGCTTTCTTGCTCGCACAAGCTTTTTCAACTCTCCCCACAAATTGTCTATAGGATTGAGCTCAGGGCTTTGTGATGGCCACTCCAAAATATTCACTCTGTTGTCCTTAAAGCACATTTTAACAAATTTGGCAGTATGCTTAGGGTCATATTCTGTTTGGAAGACCCATTTGTGGCCAAGTTTTAATTTCCTGGCTGATGTCTTGAGATGTTGCTTCAGTATTTCTCCATAATGTTCTTTCTTCATGATGCCATCTATGCTGTGAAGTGGACCAGTCCCTCCTGCAGCAAAACAGCCCCACAACATGATGCTGCCGCCCCTATACTTCACAGTTAGTATGGTGTTCCTAGGCTTGTAAGCTTTTCCCTTTGTCCTCCAAATGTAACACTGGTCCTTATGGCCAAACAGTTCAATCTTATTTCCACCAGAGCACAGGACATTTCTTCAAAAATTATTCTTCTTCCAGTGTAATTTAGCAAATTGTAATCTGGCTTGTTGATTCTGGCTTGTTGATTTTCCCATGTTGTCACACAAGGAAGCAGTGTGTTAGAGGTTTCGCTTAAATACTATTCTACCTTTGTGCCTCCAATGAACTCAAATGTTAGCCAATCAGAAACTTCCAAAACCTTGACACCATCATCTGAGCTTTTTCAAAGGCATAATAATCTTATTGTATGTAAACTTGACTTTCAAGAAAAGTTATAACAATTTCTCCAAAAAAAAATCTCTCTCTCATTATTCTGCTATTAAGCATAACAGAAACAAATTTAATAATCCTAGCTTACCTAAAAGAGAAAAGGTTTAATCACATTAACATCTGACTTTTTTTTAAATGGTTATGTGCCTTTTTATAGTGTATGTAAACTTCTGGTTTCAACTGTATATCACATTTTTTTATTTAAAGGTCCTGTGAAGTGCTTTGAAATATGCATTTTTTATTTGATGTAGGACATTCTCTACTGCACAATGAAGATAGGCGGGACAGAGCAGCTCCTTCAATTTATATAATTTTAATATAATTTAATTTATAAATAAATAAAATAAAAAGTATCATTGAACGATTCAGGCGGAAGTAACAAACTACAAGCTTTATATGCTTATATCAATTTTATATCTCCTATATGTGAATTGTTGTCCATGAAGTTTTTGGCAGCAATAGTGAGGTAGTTTGCCATGGCTTTCCTCACCCCTCTCCATCATAAAGTGGCCGAAAGAAGGCGTAGACTGATTGTCTAATCATCATCATCATCATCATATGTGAATTGTCACTGTTTTTGAGCGCACTAGGTAATAGATATCCTTAAATCAAACATCTAAAAAATTATTATTTAATTTCACAGGACCTTTAATGCCATGTCAACAACAATGCTATTTTTATGGCAAAAACATTTCATTAATAAATATAAATTTAAAAACCACAAAAAAATGAAAACATAAACTAGATAAGATTTTTAATGTTGATATATGATAAAAATTAAAACAATATTTCCTGGTGAAACTTCTGCTGAATATCTCACAGCACTATACTCTACCTTTCCAAATGACATGGAGGGGGAGAAGGGTCCGCCTGAGGACGTGCTGCTCAGAGGTGGACTGAATCCAGACACACAGCTGGGTGAAAACTTGGGGCTGGTGCTCGAAGGTCGAGCTGGGCTGAAACTGAGGACATTCTGACCCTGCAGAGGCGAGGACTGCACTGACACTGGAGCTTCCTTCTTCTCCTGTTTCTGAGGTGGAGAGGCTTGAATACCTATTAAAATTGATTATTCATTTCAGTGATTTTATTAAACATACTAACTGCATTTGAACAACTTATAGCCATGAATTTGTCATTTGTATCTTTGATTTATTACATTGCCTTTTTTAATAACTTTATTTACTAACAATGAATTAAAAATTAAAACATTAAAATATAAAATGAGAGTTTATGTATAAAAATGAGTATTCTTTAAGGCATAAAAATGCATTAAAATCTGAATTTTCCATTTTATTTTTATTTTCTTATGTTATTTTTATGTATTTTTTTATTATTATAATTTTTTCATTGCTTACAATGTGAAATAAGGATTAAATCGTATTTGTCTTACCTTGTATTTTTGACCTTGTAATGCTAGTTTTTCTGTACTGTATATTAACTTGCAAAACAAAATCAGGGAAGATTATTGATCAAGATTCTCCCCACAAGCATTAAAGGGACAGTTCATCTAAAACTGAAAATTCTGTCAACATTTATTCACTCTCCAATTGTCACAAACCTGTTTAAGTTTCTTTCTTCTCAATAACACAAGTTACTTATATTAAAAATATTGGAAACCTACAACTATTGACTTCCATGGTGTTTGTTTTTCCTACAATGGATAAATTTTATTAAAATATCCTCTTTTGTTGATCTTTTATTTTAATGGCTTGGAATCCCTTGAGTGCAAAGTAAATTGTGAATACATTTTTGCTCATCTTTTTAGTGGAACTGTGGCTTTAACAAGACTTTGTTAAATGTTGTTGTCATTGTAAATCAGATGTGTGATTTCTTAGCCAAAACTCTTTCAGCTGACTCACCCGAGCCCCTGAGTCCAAGAAGGCGATGCTGGTCTGGGCTGACAACAATTGTGGACGGGGCCATCGTGTACTTGAAATACTTCCAGAAGTCAAAAAGTGCATTGAGACTGAACAGGGAAGCCAGGGCAAGTTCTGTCCAACAAAACCACAGTGAGGAGAAAAGCTGTATACTACTGTAGGTCACTTACAGTAGGAGATTTACTTACCGATATACCAGATGGGCCAGTAAGTTATGTTGTAGTATCTGCTTAGAAGCTTTCCAGACCTAAAAGACAAGGTGACTTAGTTACTTGAATTTAAGAAATAATACATTTTAAATAGTTGTTAATTTACAACTAGGCATGGGACAGTATTGGTTTACCGCGGTTTGAAAAAGTCACATCTTTTATACCATTCCCGTTGGATTTTTTTTAGTGCAGCAGTATCTCCAGCAGCAAAGGACAATCCAAATAAAAATGCAACAAACAATTATAAACGTTTCTTAAACATGTATGCATCTTGAATAGAATTGTATTTATCTATTTACGCCAGTAATTTTACTGTGCATAATTGTTTGGATGACCATGTTGTTGTTGTTTTTTATTTTATTTTAATAAAAAATAAATAAATAAATAAAATTAAAATAAAGTAAATAAAATAAAATAAAATAATTTTATTAAAATAAAATAAAAAATATTTTAATAATTTAAAAAAAAAATTATTTACCATGTTTTATTCATTCATTCATTAATTTTCTTGTCGGCTTAGTCTCTTTATTAATCCGGGGTCGCCACAGCGGAATGAACCGCCAACTTATCCAGCAAGTTTTTACGCAGCGGATGCCCTTCCAGCCGCAACCCATCTCTGGGAAACATCCACACACACACTCATACACTACGGACAATTTAGCATACCCAATTCACCTGTACCGCATGTCTATGGACTGTGGGGGAAACCGGAGCACCCGGAGGACACAACACGAATGCAGGGAGAACATGCAAACTCCACACAGAAACGCCAACAGAGCCGAGGCTCGACCCAGCGACCTTCTTGCTGAGAGGCGACAGCACTACCTACTGCGCCACTGCATCGCCTACCATGTTATAATTCATTCATTTATTTTATTAGAGTTGCTGTATTTTGTTTAGAGCATATGCATATGTACATGTCATCAATTATTTATCATTCAGTTTTTTCCTGTATCTGTAACTGTATTTGTGAATCCTGCCTAGTTGGAGAAAATAAAATAGTTGGGAAGTTAGGAAAAAATAGTTTCTTAAAATAAAATATACTATGTTTAATGGGGGAAAAGTGTTTTTTATTTTATTGAGAGAATATACACAAGTACAAAAAAAACGTTTAAAAGTAAAAAAAGATCCTCCAATTTTTACTTGAACATACAAAATATTTCAATCCATAATTTAAAAAAGTTGCTATTTTTTTTACCCAGACATTTGTTTTTCGAGCAGTAATCACAATACTGTTGTACCGTGAAACCATGATATTTTTACCTAAAGTTATCATTCCCTCAGAATCTTATACCGGCCCCATGCCTAATAGGAACTCACATCTCAGTGTAGATCATCCCAGCCAGAGACATATTGAGCACAGCCCAAGCCAGAACGACCTGCCGTGCCTGTTCCTCCTTCCTCAGCTTTATGGTCCTCTCAATGAGGGAGGTCATGCCTTCTTTTGAGGGGGTCATTTCTGCAGTTGATCTTCTGACTATCACACTAGATTGAAAGAAAAATATATTTAAACAGACAGACACTATTGCTTTATCGTCTATAGCAGTGGTTCTCAAACTGTGGTACGTGTACCACTAGTGGTACGCAGGCTTCCTTCTAGTGGTACAAGAAGGAATGAAATATGTCATGTACATGCTACACATTTCAAAATTTATCAAAAATGATCTATATAATATACCATATATGCCATATAGCCTATATTTCTGAGGTTATCTGCCAAGTTTTTTTAACTGTGCAGAGTTGTAGCTGCTTTACTGGGCTTACTATGCTACTGTATTTCAATACTGCTCATTTTTGGTGGCACTTGGAAAGACCTTTTTTTTCTGAGGTGGTACTTGATGAAAAAAGTTTGAGAACCACTGGTCTATAGCGAATAAAACTTAAAAGTACAATATAAACAACACCAGCACCTACATAGGTTAATGGATTTAAACTGAGGTAAAGCTGGTTTTATATACTTACACATTCGTTTATTTTTGAACATTGACAACACTTTGAACAACGGATACTGTTTACTATAATACATTGAATATTTGGTCTGAAATTGCATGTAATTATGACTTCAAAACAACATTAGCACTATTTAATTGACTGTAAATACTGTTGTACTTTGATAGTCATTTGGCTGCTAATGTGATTTGTCTATTTAGAATCTGCAATACTAATTTCTGATATTACTCTATTAAGTAGAGAGTCTGAATGTGCGAATATAAATACAACTTTACCCTAATATGGATATATTACAGCATCAGAACTATATTAATACAAATAAAAGGTTTTGCATCTAATGGGAAATCAAGTTATAAAATATTTTATTGTAAATATAATATATTATGAGGATTATAATCCATTTTAACCAGTATTAATCATTAGCAGTTATGAGCTCGACTGTAAACTATGTTGGTCTAGATAACGTTAGCAATTCGCTGCTAATATGAGTTCAATACTCAGAATTATCAAAGAAAATACTTTTCTGATTTTATATTATAAAGGAGAAAGTCTGAATGTGTGAATATAATTCCAATTTACCCTAATATGCATATATTACAGCACCAGAACGACTAAAATGCGATCCTACATTTTGTGTCTAATATTAAATCAAGTTTTGGAATATTATATAGTAAATATGATAAATTATGAGCATGATAATCAATTTTAACCAGCAATCATGTGTAGTTATGAGCTTTACGTACAATGTGCACTTGTGAAATACTTCACTGGTAAGTTAAACTCTGCACTGCGACAGCTGGAGAACTCGAGCGACAGTAAATAAGATACGAAATAATATATAAATTTTGATGTAAACAACTCGTGAATGATGCACAGATATGATTCAAATGTGTGTTGATACATACTTCCTCTGCACCAGTCCTCCATGAACGCGGTAAAGTGTGAAGAAGGAAGCCGGAGACGCAAACGAACAGCAACAGAGTGAAGACAGCCGCAAATAAATTACGACAAAAGACGTTTTCTTCCAAAATAAAAGTCCTTTTATATCAGGCAGCGTGCTAAAGTTACTTCATATATATACATACATATTACTTTAGGATATATATACAGCAGCATTTTAAATGGGCGGAAGATTAAAAACCACATACTGTAAAAACACAGATAAAACAAAAGAGGTAAGAACAATCAGGGTATTACTTTATTAGAACAGTTGTGCATTACATAAACTATTTTAGTTCAGCTCGACGTTTCCGAGATATAAAAGTAAATTTTCACATATTTTTCAATCGTTTTAATGATTTTGATTACGAAGATTGGATTTAATTAATTAATTTATTTATATAATCAATGTGCGCCGGTCAAATTTTTATATAAAATGAAATGTTGTTCTAAATAATATTATTAAAATGTTAACTATATTAAAACATCTTGATATTACAAACTTCCTGCAAGCCCATTTAAAAGCAGCAGAGGTCAGCAAAGTACTGCAACGAATGCCTACATACTGAGAATAATAGATGACAATATAAAAAGGTTTTCTAATAGCTAATCACTCATAAATTCTAATAATAACTAATTGCAGAAAATATATATATTTTTGATTTTGATTAACTTGCTTATGTACTAAAATAACTATATATATATATATATATATATATATATATATATATATATATATATATATATATATATATATACTAAAAATCTATCAAATTAAGGCAGAAGGCAAAACAACAAAGTCAAAGTATATGAATATCGTAGAGAAAGAGAGAGAGATCAATCATAGATAGATAGATAGATAGATAGATAGATAGATAGATAGATAGATAGATAGATAGATAGATAGATAGATAGATAGATAGATAGATAGATGAATAGATGGATAGATAGACATGGTATGTGTGTGTGAATGAATAAGTTACTGTAAATAAATTAATATACAAGTTAGTAATGAAGTAATGAACGGACACATTTTGTCTTCTTTTTTTGTCTTCTTTCAGGTCTCGGAGAAACAGAAATGATGCATTATGTAAGCCAGAGTCCTTACTGGACGTTGTCCTTCATCTCCTTTGATATGTGATGAGCCGCTGCTCACAGCCTGGAGCAGGAAAACCCATCGGCCGCTACACAGGACTGATGCATTAAAGGGATGGGTTTACCCAAAAATGAACATTTACTGACTAATTACTCTCCCTCAGGTGCTCCCAGTTCTGAAGAAGATATTTTGAGAAATGCTGAAAACATTTAAGATGAAAAACTAATATGGAAGTCAATGGTCACAGGTTTTCAGCATTTTTCTAAATACTGTATCTTCTATTGTGTTCAACAGAAGACAAAAAAAGAGTAACTGATTTGGAACAAATAAACAGTGTGTAAAAATGGCAGAATTGTCAGTTTTGTGTGAACTATCCCCTTTAATTCAGTATTTTGTCGCAGGAAAAACTGATTGACTTCCATAAGAGGTTAAACAAATACAACGAAGATCAATGGTTACAGGTTTTCAGCTTTTTTATAAAAATCTTATGTTCAACAGAAGAAGAAAAAATGCAAGTAAATGGTGAGTAAAATATAACAATATTGTCAGTTTTGTGTGAACTATCCCCTTTAATACAGTATGGCAGGAAACCCATCAGAAACTCTGTATGCACATGGCCACCAATACAGGACTGAACCAATAAAGGGGTAGTTCACCCAAAAATGATCATTTACTGACCAATTACACTGCCAAATCTGAATCAGTTTCTTTCTTATGTTTTTGATAAGTGCTGAAAACTTGTAACCACCAACTTTCATGAGAGCAAAAACAAATAATATAAAAATCAATGGTTACAGGTTTTCAGCATTTACCAAAATATCTTCTTTTGTAAACAAATCTGTTTGAGCCCTATATCTATGTGTGTAATAGAAGAGTAAAATATGGCAGAATAGTCTGTTTTGGTGAACTATCCCCTTTAATTCAGTATTTTGTCGTGGGAAACCTGTAACCCCTGACTATAAGAGGTCAAATAAATACTATGGAAGTCAATGGTTACAGATTTTCAGCTTTTTCTAGAATATCACCTTTCGTGACAGGATGCTGAGTAAAATATAACAATATTGTCAGTTTTGTGTGAACTATCCCCGTTAATGCAGTATTGTTTGGCAGGAGACCCATCAGCCCATGACCCATCAGAAGATATTTTGATAAATGCTGAAAATTTGTAACCACCGACTTCCATAAGAGGTCAAACAAATACTATGGAAGTGAATGGTTACAGGTTTTCAGCTTTTTTTCTAAATATCTGTTGTCTCTTTATTTATGTTTACTGCAAAAAACAAGTAAATGTTGATTAAAAGATGCAAAATTGTCAGTTTTGTGTGAACTATCTCCTTTAATTCAGTATTTTGTAGCAAGAAAACCTGTAACCATTGACTTCCATAAGAGGTCAAACAAATACAATGAATGTCAATGGTTACAGGTTTCCAGCTTTATTCTAAATATCACTTTTATGGTGACTAAAATATAACAATATTGTCATTTTTGTGTGAACTATCCCCTTTAATTCAGTATTGTTTGGCAGGAAACCCATCAGCCACCTTGTATGCACATGGCCATCAATACAGGACTGACCCATTAAAGGGGTAGTTCACCCAAAAATCTACATTTACAGACTAATTACTCTCCTAAATCTGAATGAGTTTCCTTTTCTTTTATTTATTTTCACACAAAAGCAGATATTTTGATGAATGATGAAAACCTGTAACCATTGACTTCCATAAGATGTCAGAAAAATACTATGGAAGTCAATGGTTACAGGTTTTCAGCTTTTTGTTATAAAAATCTTCCTTTGTGTTCATAAGAAGTGGGAAAAAAAGTACATTGTGTGTAAAAGCTAGCAGAATTGTCAATTGTGTGTGAACTACCCCATTAATTTAGTATTTTGTGGCGTGATCCTGATCTGCAGTCTGTTTCGGCACAGTTAGAGGGCGTCTGTGTGCGATGACATCATACAGTCCTTGCCTCCGTAATTGGCCTGTTTCCTGCAGCGGCGCGGAACACACAAGTGGAGCCAGACACATGCTCACAGGGATTTTCCAGAAAGACGAGGGGCCCAGTTTTAGGGACGCTGAGAGTCTAGGCTGAAACCACTGTAAATGTCACAAATGAATGAAGGGCCTCAGCCCAAAATGCAATCTGATCCAGCGAGCCCCAGGGCCAGAGTCGTTTGATCTGCTCCACATTCCAGCTCTGAAATACATTACAGCATCTCCATGTTATGACATTATCAATACTATCTTCACATGTATGTTGTTAAGAGCTCTGCTTTTGTTTGTGTGCGAAGGTCTAGCTGCTTCAATTGATCAGCAGCCAAACGCTAATATCACAATCAGAAGCTGATGCTTTTAAAATAGACCTTTTTCAGTTCGCTTATTTAACCCTTAAGAGATAGCTCACCCACATGAAAAAATAGTGTAGTGATTTACAGTAAATAATATAGAAGTATGCTGTAGTGAAGTGTATTTTGATGTATATTATGCTATTTTCTTGCTAATTTTACAGCAGACTGCACTGTGAAAACTAATGCTGCATTAAATTATTTAGATGAATTAAATTGATATTTGTAGTCTTCTTACATCGATCAAACTAACTGAAAATGTTAAGTTAAACATTGCATAACTTAAACTATTTAGTTAAAGTTGAATAAGTTAAAGCAACACAACTATATTTGTTGTATTGACTTTATGCAGTGTACACCCATTCAGTCATTCATTCTTTTTCCTTCGGCTTTATGGCGGAATGAACCGCCAACTATTGTTTTATGCAGCGGATGCCCTTCCAGCTGCAACCCAGTTCTGGGAATCCCCCATACCTAGTGTATGTGTTTGGACTGTAGGGGGAAACCGGAGCACCTGGAGGAAACCCACACCAACACAGGGAGAACATGCAAACTCCAAATGCCTTGCCCAGTGACTCGAACTAGCGACCTTCTTGCTGTGAGGTATATAGTAGTGTTTATAGTATTTTTAAAGTGTAAACATACTGTGGTGTGATATGCTACAGTCATATTTTTCACTACAGCAATCTGTGGTGTATTGTCTTATACTGTAATATACGCCAGAGTTGTAGAAAACTAGAGCTGGTGAATTTGTTTATATTGCTATAGTTGTTGTTACAACCGCATCTATAAAATCACCATTCATTTATTTTCCTTTCAGCTTAGTCCCTTTATTAATCACAGCGGAATGAATCGCCAACTTATCCAGCATATGTTTTACGCAGCGGATGCAACCCAACGCTGGGAATCACCACAACGGATTAATTCAAGTACTTCACTATAGTATGGTTCATTCATTCATTCATTTTCTTTTCCGCTTAAGTCTCTTTATTAATCTTGGGTCGCCACAGCGGAATGAACCGCCTATAGTATGGTTTAAAAACTCTTTAATATTTACTGTACATTACTACAGTATTTGAAATCATGTTTTTAAATAAATTGTATATCCTCAGCAGGTCATCCAAAACTTTTGTTTGATCATTTTTAACTGAAACTGCAAGTCAGGTCACTTTAGAGTACAAATAAAATCAAAACTATGATTTTGTTAGCTCACATTGCTTTGGCACCACATTGCTTTGTGATGAACAATTGTGCAGGTCATTCAGACAAACAAACAAACAAAAAAAAAAGATTGTCCTTATAATCTAAACTTGAAATCTGAAATTAAATTAGATAAATCAGTCAGATCATATACAGTTGAAGTCAGAATTATTAGCCCCCCATTGATTTTTATTTTTTTTCTAAATGATGTTTAACAGAGCAAGGAAATTTCCACAGTATATCTGATAATATTTTTTCTTCTGGAGAAAGTCTTATTTGTTTTATTTTGGCTAGAATAAAAGCAGTTTTTAATTTTTTAGACACCATTTCAAGGACAAAATTATTAACCTCTTTAAACTATATATTTTTCGATTTAGATTTTTCTGAGTTTACCATCGTTATACA